TTAAGCGACTACATACTGAGAGATTTAGAGAAATCCTGAAGTATAGGATAAGGGGTTTTGGCTAGTGTTAAATTATTAGCGACTGCCACTAACCCATTGTGTCCAACACCACAAACTGTGGACTATTATGAAAAGTATGAGGTTTCCAGCGCATTTAGTGCATTTAATTGAAAATCTTTATCATGAACAACAACTGACAAGCAGCCATCAAAGCAGCTGGTGAAACATCTAATTGTTCAAGGTGCAAAAGGGGGTGAGGCAGGGGTGCATTCTTTCACCAGGCCTATTCAAAATATGCGCAGAAAATATAATAAGAAATGTCAAACATGACCAGACTTGTGACAGTTATGATCCGCTCAAAACTGATGGCAACCCTATGAGTTGTTTTTACTTGATGAAATTTTTGGGAGGAGAGGTACCCCACCTGAGGGATAGACAATTTGTAGCTAGTACTGGCACTTTTTTCTAGAAAAAAAACCGTGTGTGTGTGCGCGCGCGCTCGAACGCGCGAGCGTGTGTGTGTGCGCGCGCGGACGCACTGATTACTGAAATAAAAATCAATATCGTAGCACACCCATCTTTAAATTGATATCAGTGAAGGAGGTCCTGGAAGTAGAGGCGGCCAGTGTGATGTTGATTGATCTATAAAATATATGTCTATCCTTATATGCTCAATACACTTGAAGGCGTGGGAAAAGATCCCTTATGTTACTTTACTTTTACATGAATTTTAAGCAAACAAAAATAACCTCCACAAACAAGATTTCCTGTCATCCCAAAAAATGCCATAAACTTGAAATAGCTAGGTTCCATAATGAACAGCAAAAGAGACTGATCAATGGAGGCTAAAAGGGATGACGGTCATAGCAATGCAAAGAATAAAAATCATTGAAAGTCTCTGGCTAAGCACCAGAATTTAAAAAAAAATTTTTAGAGCATGCATCTTTCCTGTAGCAATATACGGATGTTCTTCTTCTTCTTCTTCGCGTTCACCGGCTGTAAACTCCGGAGGAAAGTTCTGGTTGTTCGTCCACTTCTGGACTGCAGTCCTGTTCCAGAACCTGAGAGTTGCGTGAGCATCCATTTGACAGATCTGTATGCAGACTGTTGGTTCCTTGCCTCTAAGGCAGATGCACTCCGACTTCGAGTTCGAAGGAAGCTCCCAATTAGTCGACTCTTACGACATGCTTTTGGGTAGGCAGTGGGTCTATTCTTGTTTTTTCCCATAGTAGGGCCCTGGAACCCACACGGGGGATATACGGATGTAAGTCGTAGACTCTCTCGCAATCACAGAGAAAGAAGATGGGGGCTTCTGGGCTGAAACGCTAAATAAAGATTTATCAAATATCAAGAGCCAAGAAGAAAAGAACGATTGTTTCCTTAAAAAATCGAGTTTGGTGTTCGTTCTTTCTGTAAAAGACCTACTGCACGATGACGTGTCTTCAACAACACACGACCACCTACGTGCTGGTGAACCCAGTGCCTCTAATTCCAGGCACTGCATTCTATCACTTGTGTTGTTCGTCTATCACAAGTGGTGAGGACAACTCTTTCTTTTATCCGTCATGAATTGAATGTTTGTGAGTCCGGAGGTGACTTATAAAGTCCAATGCGTGCCCGGAAGAGTCTAGGACGTTGAGGGCAGGGCAAGTGTCTGTTGATAAAAGGCCTGTTTGGCGGGTCATAATGGCTTGTCTTCGCTGTCCAGCTGACCTTGTTCTAGATGCCTCGCAGATCTTCACACCATTTAGGATATATGTGCGCCACGGTCAGCTCCAGATTTGTATAAGGCCGTACAGCTCGAGCGGGAATTCTCGTTCTTGTGCAAGAATTGAGTCCCTCTGCGTCCACAGTTTTTATCGAGGAGATGTATACGCAAATTAAACTACAGTTTCATTAATTTTCGACACATAAAAATCTGGAGCTGGTCGTGATGTGCGCCATAAAGTCCGGTCTTGTGCTGCGGTCTCCCAGGTGTCAGGGTTTATACTGAAGGCTTTCAGTGATGCCTTCAGTGTGTTCTAGAAGCGGTTTTTTTCCGACTCCCATGAGAACGTCGGCCTTCGCGTAGCTCACTCACCATAGAAGATATTTTGTGGATGCTATGGTCAGACATTCGAACAATATGGCCAGCCCTTCGAATCTGTGACTGCATCAGGATGGTATTGATGCTGGGAATGCTAGCCCTATCCAGTAGACAGTGTCCAGGACCATGTCTTGCCACTTAATGTTCAGTATCCTTCTCAGAAAGAGTGTATGGAAGAAGCTGATTTTTTTTTTAGCCTGACATCTGTAAACAGTCCAAGCTTCACAAGCATACAGAAGCACATTGCTGCCCTGTACGCCTTAGTTTGGTTGCAGACTGATGCCACTATAATGCCAAACATTTGTGTATAACCTGCCAAATGTGCAGCTGGCTTTAGAGATCCTGGTGCAATTAATTACTGTAACAACAACAATTAAGGTAGAGGCGATGATGCTGTTAGAGGTGTAGATGAAGAGATAGCAGGAGCGCCGATACAATGAAAGTATGAGCGGCGCTCAGCCCTTTAACACATTTTCTAGGAGAGGGGGCACAAGGTTTCACTTGTTTAGTTCTTAACAATTGCTGAATAGCAAATAAATATAATAATATTTTTTTTTTAGATGTGTACATAAAAACCTAAACTTTTTTTTACATAGGGGATGGGGCCTTTTTAGTAGTTGACCTCTAATTTTTTAAGGCCGTGGGAGGGGAGGGGGGGAGGCCAAGCCTTAGGCTCTGATCCCCTCAGAGATAATGAAAGAGGTTGCCCAAAGGTAGAAGAATGAAATATAAATAATGGAAGCTAAAAGAAGGGAAATAAAAAAAATAGAGTGCTTTAACTTTTGCCAGTACGCAACAGTACAAAGTACCGGCACAGTTTTTATGCAAACGTTTTTTCCAGCGCTAGGGAGAGACAATTTGTAGTGAGTACTGGCACTTTTTCTATAAAAAAAAGGTCATATATGTATATATATATGTGGGTGTGTGTGTGGGTGTGTATACACTGATTATTGATATAAGAATTAATATCATAGCACACCGAGTTTACCCAATAGAAGAGATGCTCTGTCTCGTCTCCTGCAATTAGTTATTATTAATCTTGTCATCCCATTTTGGGGTGCAATTTTTAGTTATTTGAAGCCCTACTCTGGCTCTTGCCAGGAACCGCAATATAGCCCGGCTATGTGGTCTAATGGCTAAACGCGGTTTCTGTGACCTCTTAACCGGTGATCCTCATCCACGTGGTGGCACTTTGTGCCATCGGGTGTTTATCGATTGTGTGACGTCCTGGTGGGGTAAAAGAAGGCAGATATATAGTCTCCTGCATCGAATGTCTCAGGGTGTAGATACTGTTTCTGATTATACAAATGTCGTTCTCTTCCTCTCATACACCCCTCTTTGCCGGATTTACATCTACTTCTTCGTTCTCACATTCATACAAATGTTATTTCATCACCAACATATTCTTCTTCTGTGTTCATCCAAAGCCGGTTAAAATGGACGCTAGACAGCGGCCCTGTTCGAAGCAGAGGCAAATGTTTTTGCTTCTGCCGGACGGTGGCCGAAGTATTTTTGCTCCATTTGTAGACTGGATATAGTTTCGTCGCCCAGCTTCTGAGTTGAATGCATGGCGTGACCCTGTGAGCTGCGGATTGCATTTGGAATGTATTTTCGACTGTGACCAACGTGGTGGTGTGAAATGTAGATTCAGAAAATGGCGTGATGCCTGTCGTGCAATGTTGGCGGTGCCCGTATCTGGTTAAAATTGATCAAGTGGACAACTGCTGAACTGTTGGCGACAAGTTCTGCTATCATCAATGATGAACTGCATTTCTAATGTTGGACTGTTTGTGTTAGCACTTCGGATGGCTACCGCATGCTTTAATGCGAGTGTATGCTAGATATGCTAAGACAGCAGTATGTCAGTCTTTCCACAAGGGACTGTGATAAACATTCTGGGTGTTTTTCGTTGGCATAGGAGCGGAGCAAAGATGGGGCGACCCGTTGCTATGAAGCTGAAACTAAGACTACCAGACTACAAAATGCGTTGTGCTCGTTTACAAAATGGCTGCGGCCTTTAGGCCGATACATCTGACTTCTGTAGGCATTTGTTGTCCAGGTTAACCTTTCTGGCGTTATTTCATCTGTGTCTTATATCAGCATTCGTTCATAAGTGGCTATCGGGATGTCTTCTCTGTCCAGTATGAATGTTCTGGTTTCTATCGCTTTTGTAGCCATAAATCAGCTCTTTAATTTTCTCGCAATTCTGCATATCCGTGATAGCATATTCCCGCGAGCTCCTGTAATTTTTATATGCTGATGCTGAATCTGACGTATAATTGCTCCGGTAGGTCCGTTTTTTTTTAAAAATCCACTTCAGAGCTGCAATAAGTGCCTCCACCTCCGTGCTCATGCTTGAAGTTGCAGATAAAAAAGAAGTTTTGTTCTGCCACGACCTTTCCACTCTAGCTAAAAACCTTCGTCAGATCTTTCCCTACTGCATCATCTAGTTAAGCATTTTAATCTATCAATTGTTGTACCTCTAATTCTACCATACCGTTACACAACTCTCTACATAATGTGCTAATGACTTGATGGAAACTTCTGTTGTGAGTGTTCGTGTCGATCCACACCTACCCCCTGTGTATTTGCTCGACTGAGGCTACCCGCCCGATGGTATCTTCAGCTAATACCATCCATCACTTTCCTCTTTTCAGCCTCTAAAATCTTCCAGACTGCCATGCAGCTGATGCCTTTCATCACTGGATATATATCAATTGGACAAAATCCGGTGGCGTGTTGGAAATTCACCGCAGCCAACCTTCGTTGTAGAGACGGCACATGACTAATGGATAACTCTGCAACACGATTAATTGCGAATGATGTCCCCTGCACCAGTAAGCAGAAACATCAACACAGGGTGACACTCCCATTGGTCTAAATCCTGTAGGACAATGGCCGGCTATTTTACTGAATGAGTACGCCTTCTAGATCTAAATATATCTGGTCGTGCTTCGAAAAGGTAGGAAGACTTTTTACGACTATTTTTAATTAATTATAGATTTATCTATTCGAGATTTTACAAAACCTACGGAAATAATAAGAAACATGAACAAAATTACCGCACACTATGTTTTACAATGTTTATTTTTATTTGTAAACCCCCCCCCCCCCCCCCCATTTTTCCCTTTTCACATTTTGTGTTTGTGTGTGTGTGTTTATTATCAGCAAACATCGATGGCTGGTTGAAGTGGTTGGTTTTTGAATCTTCTGAAAGCTGAGTTTTAACTTTTTAAGCCTGATGCATTAATGTTCGGTCGCCTGAATTGGCTGAATCTTAAAACCAAGGGCTTGCATCAAGTTTCTATAACTATTAATATTATTAAGTTAACTCGGCTCTCCTTCGAACTTCTACCCCAAATAATGGCGGCCAAATAAATACCCTAACAGAGCCTCAGTCCTATGCAAAATGCGGAGTTCATTTGGCGGAACAAATCGCGGCAAAACTATGCTCGGCTCGGCTCAGAATAATGAAACAAATGCTCTAACAGCGATATATTAATTGCGGAAATATTTTTGCGACTGCCGTACAGCTGACAGTATCCTCCGGCCACTATGCGCGGCGCAGATGGGGGGGGGGGGTTTAAACTAGATGGCTGGGACTCATGAGCAGCAGCTACATCATCTCCTGCAACTTCCTCCAATTTATTTACTCGTGAGTCCCAGGTATCTAGTTTAGATTCCCATCCGCGCCGCTACGAGCAGCACAGGGAATACGCTCAGCGGTGAGTTTAATCAGAAGAACACTATCGCTAATCTGTGTTGGAGAGCGCTGTCTCCCCGCCATATCGCTATTATCGTCTGTAATGTTGCGTGTCTGAAAATTGTCAATGGTCGCTAGTATCGTCTGCAGAAACGCTCAAAATTGTCAGCGGTCGCTACTGACGTCTGCACTGTTGCGTGTTGTAACATTGTCAAGTAATCCTAGTTTCGCCACGATGTGTTCGTCACAGGAAGTCTGCATTTTACACACAACTGAGGCACTGTTAGGGTATTTGTTTTGCTGCCATAATATGGGGTTGAAGTTCGAAGGAGAGCCATTAATTCTTTGAGTCCCAGTGGGTTGGTTTAGCATCTCAGGCTCAAGGGGTAGTGAAGAGAGACTACAATCAATGCACCATGCATTAATTGGGCTTCTAGGTAGGAACCTATGAACGTATGATCTGTTCCTTAAGACTCAAAGAGTTTAGTACTTTTTAAATACTTGGGGGATCATCTTTTACAAACGAGAGAGAGAGAGAGATGGAAACAAGAATATATATAGCAAGCCAACTATGTCACCTATCGTTACCCCAATTTTGAAACGCTGTGCTATCTCAGTAGAATCAGAAAGACCTTTTTTTTAACGCAGTTTTCATACAACTTTCTGCTATCATTACTATCAGACTTTGAAATTGACTAAAGAACATGAAAGGAGGCTAACCATCTGCGAAATTAGATGTTTGAGAAAGGCAGCAAACAAAGCTATAAGTGAGCATGTGAGAAACGAAGAAATTACAAGAACTGTTGGGACAGTAAATTCATAATAACTGAAATGGTTTGGCCATTTAAAGACAGTGAGAATGAATCCAATGATTCGACCAACGAGGCTTACAACATGAAAGTGGAAACACCAAGACAAAGGGAGTGACCAAGATGAATATAGATTGAAGGAGTCACTGATACCTCAAGACTCCATAACATCACAGTTTGCTGGACAACCGAGCATGCCATAGCTCAGGTACCAGTCATCTGTTAACCTGCAATGCCTAGCGGCACCAAACATGATATGGACAAAAAGTATAAAATAAACTATAGTAACCATTGCATAGTAGTAGAATTGAAGTAAATGCAGAATAGAGACTTTTTTTCCACCTGATAATTCTAATTGTCACATACCGCGTGCCTGATTTAAGGATTGCTCCTTAAGAACCAACAGCACTCTGAAATAATAATGTTGAGGCGTTGGCTCGTATTGGTCTAAGGGAGATCCCGTGGCCAATATACGCCCAACTTATTTCAGGAGTAATGCAACTCAAGCTCTGTCACTACAGAATGTAGAGTATTCCTAGGCACACTTGGCTGGACACCCCCACTACTATAAAAAGATAGCCCCCAGGTTATGATAGTATACTATCATAGCCATGTTAACACAGATTACACTTACTAATCACACAAACATAAAAGCTCGACAGTTAGAATGGTGAAACAGGGACACCCAAGTCAGCCATGAAAATTTCTGAAAAAGGGTAGTAATTTTAACATATATATATATATAAATATCAAGACAATCAAGATGGTTTCTAGTGAATGGAGTCAGGACTCAACCTCACAGCAATGATGTTGAAACAGCCAATTACAGTTCTGAGAATATATAAATCATCCCTGTGAACCAAAGGTAACCATGTAAGAGAGCATGTATGTCATCTCAGAGTTTACTTAACCAATCTGGTAGGTCACTGCTCCCCTCAGTCCATGGTGATTTGAACCGACTGACTCAATAGATCGCTTTTCCTCTGGTTGACCTGGTAAACACTGATCGTCTCACATATGAGGACAAAGGAACTGCACTGGAGCCCAATAAAGCTCATGAAGAAGGCTTTCTTGGATTGATGACACAGGTGGTCTGCAATACTGTCTCTCAGCCACTGGAACTCACACACAAGCTCCTGAAGAAGGACTTCTTGGATGGAGGACGCAGGTGGCCTGCAATACTGTCTCTCAGCCACTGGAACTCACACACAAGCTCCTGCCATGTTGAAGCTCTGCCAACAATAGGTAGGGTTTTGGGTAGGTTTGGTGATAGGAATGGTATGGGTTGGTGATTTGTTGGTTGGACTGTGATTGGTCTGCCTGACTTCTTAGGAGATATCATCCTGTCAGGAAAGAACTCAGAATTAGTAATCATCTTAAGATGCATACACCAGCTCAACATATCCCCTGCTACCCTTCTTAGTCACTCAGAGTATACTCTCAAGAACAGGAGACCATGTCCCCTTTCATTTAACTGTCTGTAAGTCAGTAACTAGATAGAAGACAAGGTATATAGTGTAGATAGATAGACACCACTACACATAGATCATCCTCTCTCCACCTTCCCATCTGCACCCGCAGACATACCTGTATGTATTTCATATCTTCACAATCTGCCCACTACACACCCAATGTTGTCGTGCTAAAGTTAACCTTTGACTCAGAGCGCCCAGCTTCAACGTCACAGCATCTAGCCGGTTGAAGGCTGACCCAGTTTACATATCTCTGCTAGTTGACACAAACCCGTTGTCTGGTTAGAGAATAATTAACTTGTTGGGTTTAATATCTTTACAATGGTGTGTGTCATGTACGACACAAACTAGTTAGCCTGTGAAGGGAAAGGTTTGATTTAAGGCCTGGAATGTCTGGATATCAAGAACGGCCCAGTTCTGTGCAATCACACAGCTGAATCTTCCCTCCCTGCAGCAGTGGCCAACTTTAAAGAGACATATATCATGGTACTCGTAAACTATAATCAACTTACCCAAGCTTAGGAATCCTTCAAGGATTAAACCAGGACTGTGAAAGCGCCTAAGTTAATGAGAGAATTAAAACATCTCCCGACACCTCAGAGGTCTGGCAAAAGAATGCCCGCCCCAGACTAAGCTTGGCGTCTCTAGAAAAGAAGTCCTGTATTCGTGCCGAAGGAGTAAAAAGGCTTACAGGAATTTCTGAATAATATTCAAGAAATGTCTATCCCACAGTTGCAAGTTTGAAAATTTATACTTACCAAAACAACTAGAGGGTATAGAAATGTTTATTTCACCAGATAGAGGTATATAATAATATGAGGGACTATATACCTCCCCAGACGGGTTTAAATTTGAAATGTGACCTGCCCGCTAGGGATGTCAGCGTTACGACTCGTCCACAATGTAGGGTTGGCTGTTCACCCCATGACACTAATACAGCACCATTTCTACAGGAAATATATTGTTACAGGTCTCTCCTTTCCCTCTCCAAGTTCAGAAATCAGTGGGGTGTGTGTAACTGGTAGTATAACTTCACGAGTGGGAAAAGACGTGTTATTAAGGTGATGATTTTCTCAGTATCCCATGACTTACTGTGGAAAATGCTTTCTGACTCAACTGGTGTTCCTGTTCAAACTCGCCATTGCCATGGGCTGTGATTCCCGGTGGTTGGAGACAAAGAATGTGAAGAAGATGGGGACAATATTTTTTCTGTGTTAACTATTCCAGTTAATTGAATCTAATGTGTGTGTGTAATATATACATATTTTTTTTTCTCCAGATGATGGTGTCTGGACAAACTTTAATGTGGCTGTCCCTTGCTGCCTGTTTGTTCTTTGTGTCGTTTCAAGGATATGCACTTCTTCTATGTGTTTATGGCATTGCATTCATCTCAGGGTGAGTCATTGTTACGTATCAGTTTTAATTTTGATTATTTTATTAGTACATAATTGACATCGGGACACCAAAGTGTTAAGTAGACACAGAAACTTATCTAAACAAATGAAAGTGTTAAAACAATATTCAGCATTGACAATATATAAAATCAGTGCTTAAAACAGGCTGAATGAAAAAAAATATATTCGACTGGGTAAATAGAGAGCCTAATTTAGTGGTATCTCTGCCATGAACTTAATTTGTTCTTTGTCTCCGTTTGCAAACCAAAGTATTCATGATCTGAAATACTTTTCCCCATTGAATTAATGAAAATCCAAGTAATGCCGTCTATTGGGATTTCATGCTTCAAGCAGACACCCTGGAGAATATGGCAGATGTGTAGAACATAGTAGATTTGGCAAATACAGGTTTGGAGCAATTTTTAAAAAATCATGTTACATGAGGTTAGACTCATATTTTGATACACTGATCGGCCCTTGGAGGGTGATGTGGTTGAAATCATGATGGAATGTGAAGCAGTATTCGAAGTAATTTTCATTAACAGTATCCTATTTATCCCTGAGGGTTATAATTGGGATATATCATTGGGAGATCATTGTGTTTCCATTGCACACTTTTTATATTTTATCTTCCCCATATGGGTACAGCAGGGTGGAATGATAACATAAAACAAGCAGTGAAAATGAAATACAAGAAATAACTGAGGTGAAAATGAAATACAAGAAATGGCTAAGTTACGGCTCAGATGATGACTATATCGTATATAGAGTAGCAAGGTGATAATCTGTAAGAGAAAATAAACAAGCCAAGGAAAAATCCTGGATCATGTGTGGGGAAAATCTGACCAAGCTTTAGGCTAATTCTAGTAGACAGTTTTACAAAACCATTGCAAAAATTAAAACCAGAGATGACCTATTTTAACCATCAGAATATGTCAGTGACAGTCAAGGTAGACTCATACATCAGAGCAAGATGGAAATGATATTTCTTAATTCTTCTGAATGTAACAAAAAATGAAGGAACAGTACCATTCACATTCACATAAACACACAAGGAACAGTCTGGAATAATTGAACAAGAAGTCAGAGAAGCAATCAGGTGCAGCCTAAATAATAGGGCCGCTGGTGTTGATGTAATTACAGCTGTGGCAATACAGGCCTGTAGAAAAATCGGTGTCACCTGGCAACACCATATATTTAGGAAAGCCTGCAATGAAAGAACTGTACCACTAGACTGGCAAAGAGCAATTATAGTACCAATATAGAAAAGAAAAGGCAGTAAGCAAGATTGTAAGACTATAGAGGCATCTCCCATTTAAGCCACATAGGTAAAATGTTTGCCAAGATTCTAGAACAACAAATTAGATCTGTTGTAGAACCAATTCTGAACCCAGTACAGGTTGGATTCAGGAAAGGAATAGAGTGTACTAGTGCCGTTTTCGCCCTAAGGCATTTTAGCGAAAAGACAATAGAACACAAACACCAAATAAAAAATGCTTTTGTAGATCAGGGAAAGAATTTTGACAGAGTAAACAGAGATTTACTATGGGATGTCCTTGAAAACTATGGTATAAATGGAACAGTGCTATACTGTATAAGACCACAGTGACAGTAAACAGCTGCAGGACCACATAAACCAACTACATGACAGTTGCCTTAAACATCACATGAAGATCAATACAGAAAAAAAACAACAGAAGTCATGAGAGTAAGTAGAGAGCAACAAACCATCAGACATAAAGATCAAAGACTGAAACAAGTGCAGGGATTCAAATACTTGGGAAACATCTTTACAGTGGTAAAATAGACAGAGAGATAGAAATGAGAATCCAACAAGCCAATATTGTCACCTACCAACTTTGCTACAATTTAAAAACACCCTGCTATCCCAATAGAGACATAAAGACAAATTATAAATACAATATTTATACTGACTTTAGGTTACCAGTATCAGACTTGGACATTGACAAACAAAAAAACACAAGAGAAAACAAACCACCTGTGAGATGAGATGTTTGAGAGTGGCTGTGAATAAAACCAGAAGAGATCGAGTGAGAAACGACGTGATCACAACAACTGTTGGAACAAATTTATTGAGAAACAAAGAATGATATGGTTTGGTCATCTAATGAGAATGAAACCAACGATACCAGCAGCACGAGCGTACAGCCTGAAAATGCAACACCAAGAGCAACGGGAAGACTGAGAAGAAGATGGATTGAGGGAGTCACTGACACCTTGAGACTGCATAACATCACGGCAAATCGAGCGACCGAGTGCACCCTGGCTCAGCTGCTAATCGTCTAATGAACTGCGACCCTAGTGGCATAAGCAGATATTGACAAAAGAAAGAATGAAGAAGAAAGTTCAGGGTGCCCATTTTGAGAGAATAAAGAATAGACCCACTGCCACCCCGCTTTTTCCCAACCAAGCATGCTGTAAAATTCTACTAAGGGACATTTCCTTCAAAGTCAGAATGCATCTGCCTGAGAGACGAGGAACCAACGGTCTGCACACATATAAGCCAGATCTGTGGAATAGATGTGCATGCAGAACTCAAGTTCTGGAAAAATGGATTAACAACCAGAACTTTCAGATTGAGTTTACATCCGGTGAACGCAAAGAAGAAGAGGAAGAAGAGTTGATAACTTTGTATTCACAGTTCATTGAAAATGTTGTATTCACAGACATAACATATTTAATTTATAGTACTTTAAAACAGTGATTAAGGTTATTTTATCCCCCAAATGAGGAATTATAATTATTTTCATGTTTTTCTTCAGATGGCTAGCAATTGTTTATCATTTTGGCAAGCAGGCTGTGAGCATATCTGAAGACCAGATGAAATCTAAACTGAGCCATTTTAGCTTTAAGGGCATTGAGAAGGTAAAATATTAGAATTGTTGTCTATAATCTGTTACAGGTTTGTAGTTTCCTTTTTTCTCAGAGGATATTACCTTTCGTAGTTTAAGTCCATGAAGCATGTTGAGAGTGCAGACTTGCTGCATTGTTGGCCAATTTACCGCTGTCTGTTTAGGGTCAGATAGTGAGTTTTCCTATAAAGTTATATCAGTAGTTTCATTATATCCATTGACTGTCCTGCATTGTCAATCCAATGATCTTGTGTCTGAAGTTCTGCTTTCCTCAGTTTCGAACTCACATGCTTTTCATGGCAACCGATCGTCCATAATCCATACTTGCACTGCCATCTGTATATGAAATGAAAGATACAAGGAATTACAGGTGAAAATATACCTTAAAGTCGCAGCGGACAGGTAACACCTTTTGGCGTAAAGCCTTGGAGGACTGCAAGGGGCATGAGCTGAAAAGAGGTACCTCCTTGATGGCACTGGCAGAAGTCACGATCCTAACATGAAAATATAGTGGATTTTCTGCCCAAGTCAATCGGGTGTGCGGGGTAATGAACTAGCTGATAGATTTGTTGCTGCCGCTCCTCTGGGTGGTGAACTACGTTATGATAAAGCAGAATTAGTGAAGGCTGTTTGGGATCAAGTGAAGAGTGCAGCAGAACAGACAGAGCATCCATGCATTGATAGACTAATTCAGCCAGGGGTGAGCAGGGTGTCCGAAAGATATTGAACACTGCAGGGAAAACATAGGGGGACTTTTAGTCAGGTTGCAACAAGTACTGTTAGCATATCAACTCTTCTTTGGCTGCTGAAAGAAGGAGATGGCGCACATATGGGAATGTCCCAAGTTCAGGGATTTCGGTTCTTGACTCATTTATTCATTCGATTGTTCATAATTCCATAGTGAACTACCTCATCTTTTAACTATTTGTCCCAGATCTGCAGAGGTTTGGGTTTCAAGACTCTGACATGTTGTCTGGTTGTTTTATTTTGTTTTGTTACTATTTTCCCTTTTTTTTTTTGTTTGGTGTCTAGTTCTTTTCTGTTTTAAACTTGATGGTGATTGAGTCATTATCACTAAATTTGAAATGAAAGTTTACCAGGCAGGAAAGTTGGCAGAGGACTCTTTGGCTGTCTGATGTGCAATGGTGAGAATGATGCTCTGCAGAGGACCTGCCACATGATGATAGTGATAAATACTTTGGATAGCTAATGACACCTCAGGTAATAAATAGTCGTGAGATCTTTTAGAAGTAATCATAATTAGCTGTTTTGTTGTTGACATTCTGGGATTCTCTCCTGCTGTGTTTTTGGGATGAGTAACATTTTTTAAGTAATGAATGTCTTCACCAGTGGGGCTTTAATCTTTTTATGTTGTATTTACACTTGAATATTGCAGAATCAAAACACTTGGGTAACAAAATTGATTTGTGGTCTCTTTGAAGTCACAGAATAATTAAATATTTTGATAGCCTCTGGTGTAGCAGCTAAACACTCTATGTGCTGGCCTGAAGGTCTTAGTTCAAATCTGCATCAAGTCAGATATTTTTAAAAATGATCATGTCTCCCAAGTTAACCTAGCTTAAAATCGGTGCCCAGTAAAGTCTCGGAAAATAAAGACGGCCAACTTGATGTTGACTACATTACCTATTGAAGGCTAATTGGTATTTTTTAATGTAGTCTAGCATCATCTTCCCAGTTCACGACTGCTGTGTAAGTTGTCCTTGACTTTTACTTACTAATTAGATATTTGTGTTTTTCTCCCCACTTTATTTAAGGTTAAAGAATCAATGGAGCCAACAACCAAAATCAAGAATTTTGATAAACGAATGACTGGTGCCAGTGTAATTGATGATGTACTGAAAGAGGTAATATTTGTGAACAAAAATGGAAGGGTATGTGAGAGACTGAATATGGACTGACTTTATTATTATGAAAATCATACTATAAAATTTGTAGCAACATGTGAAAATGGTAGACGTTTTATGAGTTTAAAAAAAAGGGGGCAGGGAGCCTCACTGGTAAAGTGGATTGCCGGAGTTTACTAAAAGTAGAATATTAAGGTGTTTATGATGCCAGTGCAGAAGGCTTGTTTAATATATTATTCTCTCCTTGTGGGTTTTGGGGCCCCATTTTGGTGGCGGAATAGAGGAGGGGTGGATAATAGACCCACTACGCTGTCGCATGTCTTAATTAGGGTTTCCCCTAGTAATCAAAGACACTCTGAAGTGACTTGATGTTAGATGGCTAATATTGGTCTAGAAGGTACACAGTAGCTCCAAGGACTATCCAACATCACTTCAGGGATGAGGCGACTCAAATTATGATTCCCACTGTAATAATAAATATATCTGGGTGCAACTTGGCCTGACTTCCTTACCACTTAGAAGCCCCCAGACATTATAGCAAACCTATCATTGTCAAAATATAACACAGTACTGAATCTGACCAAACAATACCACATTCACACACAACAATTTAATCTAAAAGAACTGGAAAAGACTGCACACTGACAAAACTGAATCCACAATAATATTACATAGGTAAAGACTCTGAAAAGTAAATAAAAGCAGATGACAAATCAAGGAACCTACTGAATTCAGAACTGACCTCTTCCAGAAAGACTCCTGGGCTGCCTGTAACACCTCACGGCTCATCACTGCAAGACCTTGTTGTGAGGAGAGTAAAAGTGGGCACTAGTGTCTTTGGTGGCTGCAGTTCCAGCATAATCCTATGTACTTATCCAAGGTGGACTTGATCCTCTCCAAAGTTCACAGGCCGGACTTTACTTGGAGCAGCACTGGACAATGAGCTAGGCATAAGTTCTGGAGTTGAAATGTTCCCACTTGCTACTTGCTATGCACTATCAATTAAATGTGTGGGAAGCACTTATAGTTTGTGTTCAGGTTTGAGGTTTTGAACAACGGATCAACATCATGGCACACAGGTAGTTACCCATAAGTGCTCCTTTCTTCTTCTAACCCAAGTCTGAGTCTGAGGAAGCTCAGCACAGTGCACAGGCTCTGTAGCACCAGTGAGGTTCCTGAAATATTTTGGGTATATTTTTATCTCTAAATTTTCCCTGGGCAGTGCCGTTAGGCTACTCTTTTCAATTTTCTAATTGCTAAGGGATTTTTTACGTGCGCAACAGTGCACACGGGCGTCCAATCTCACTACCCAGAGACCAGTGGGAATTACTAGGTCCAAGTCCTCGTGAAAAAATCCCAGCCCTTACCGGGGATTGAACCCGGAATCTGTAGCACTCGAGGCGGACACCATGCCCCGAGACCAAGGCAAACATAATTACTGTTGTACTGTCTCGAGGTGTTTGTGTTGCTGGGTACTGATATGAGATGCAGTTGCCAGACAGTGGTGTACTATACTTCGTGATTCTGGTACTCCTTCAGAGAGGTCAGCACACATTCTGTGAACAAAGGGATACAAGAATTAGCTAACCACTTAACACTGTAACATCAGTCAAGTGCTCAGATGATAGTGCTGGGCTAGTGCGGATCCAACAGGGCTGTATACATTATCCAGGACCTCTTAGCAGCAAGGATTGATAGTGATCTTTTCTGCCGAATAATTCTGCATTACTGACAGAGCTAGACTGTCTATCCAGCCAAGAGAGTGCCAAAAATCAGTCCTTTTTTATTATAGAGTTCCCAGACCCGCACAGTCATACCAGGGTTACATGAATATATAAGTAGGAAGAGCGTTAAAGAATCAGAAACACGACACAAAATTCCTTCTACTGACACCAGCTGTTCTGTGTTTACAGTGACCCGGGCAGAAGTTACGTCATTCTCGGTAACTCTAAATGCAACTCTGAGGCTAGCATTGAACTGCAATCTAGGTCAGCTCGGTTATTCAATTTCCCCTACATTTAATTGTATACACATGCATAGGACATGATCAATTCATATTTATAAAAAAGGATACATGAAGTCCAGTCTGCCTGGACGATCCCTTGAGGAAATATAAAAAGATATCCCCCATCGGCTTGTAGGTTAATGCTTTGGATTCGTGTATTCCTGCAGTTTAAATCATCTGATGGCTATGTGCAGTTGCTTCACATAGTTACACCCAACTTACACTAAGCAGCAGGGCAGAGTATTACAATTATATTAATCTACAATGTACTTACTCATGCTTATTGGAAGTTCCTGGGTAAACGAGACTTTCAGAGAAGGTGCTGAAAGACTTTCAAGACAAGGACGAAACCCATCTGTATGCTCTGGAGATTGAGCCATGAATGATGATTTTAATTTGAGACTAGCCCAAGTCAAAAGCGGGAGGAATTCCGTCTGCAAACAGGCAGTAGTTCGGCCGATTGAAAAAGGCTTCGCTGCTCTTAGAAATCACTTACCTGTGAGTGAAATTATAACATAACTTACTCCCGATAGATTTAGGAACAAATTAAGTACTTATCCCGAATTTGTTAGCTTGACTGTGAACCACAGCACAACATGTCAGCTACCCTTTTAAGGGCATTTGCAGAAGAAAAAAATAAAATTTATTATAGTGATCAAGTTACTGCCATGAAGCTTTTCTCATTGTAGATGTCAAAGTTTTTTTTTACCTGTAGTAATACAATTCAGCCTGTATGAGTAATAGATCAAAGAAGAAAAAAATCGGAGCTTTTAAATTGAAATACTACAGAAAAATTCTTAGAATACCGTGTACCAAGAAAAGAAAAAAAACGCTGACATCCGGCATGATCTGAATATTGTGGAGAATTAGCTCTTAAACAGCAGGTATTTTAGCGTCGTAAATGTCATGGTTACCTAAAGAGAACAGTGATAAAAGGTACAGTTGCCTGGAAAATGAGGCAGAGGGAGGTCTCCAGGAATGTTGAAGATGAATTGGCTATGAAAGTACATAGAGTTGGAGAATTAGCTATGAAACAAAAAATAACTTTCAGGCAGGCTGCAGTGGGAGTGACTTTCTGTATAAGACTTGCTGGTTGATAATGATGAGTATCATAATTGTGGGAGTCACAGAAAGGCAGCAGTTATGTATTTGAATCCCGTCACGGTAATATACAATCAGACAGTTACTGGAACCATCAGAATTCAAACTCTTCACTTACTGCTGAAGATGGGGATGGAATGTTTATGGGAGTGTCCAGAGTACTATGATGTCGATTTTTAATTCTGCATTTAACAATCCCATCAATGAAGGGGTTTAAAAAAAAAGAATTGTGTTAGAGATTGCCAGATCTCAGCAAAGATTACATTTTTACCTCTTCCTATCTATTTTTCAGGTGTTGGAATTTACAGTAAGAGATTACATCAAGACCTGGTACAGACAGATCAGTGATCATGACAGTTTCCTTGTCGACTTCTGGCAGTGTGCGCAAAAAGTCATCATTACATTCTCCAATAGGTGAACTTTGTTATTTTCACTGCTCAGAAACTTACCACATGCTTCAGAAAGAGATAGCCACCATTTTTAGCCACACTGTAAGAAAAGTATAATCAGATTTGCAACATCTGGAAAGTGGAATAGAGGAGGATTCTTCACAACTGATTCCTGGCATCTGACAACAATGTGTTATCTATAATAGCAAGAGTTGCATACAACTGTAATTTTTTTTTTTTTAAATCACCTTTTGACCCAGTTTTGCTGGCTTCAGGAATTTGTCAGTGATAGAGTGGGCTCATACCTTTGTCTTTATCTCCTTTGTTGTTCCCTCCAGTTTCTTGCTGGTGGTCGAGACCCTAACCTTCAGCTGAATTACTGGCTACCTGTGCTTCAGATCTTATAGACAATGCAAACGGAATGGAGTAGTAGTTACCCTTGTAAAGAGAAATATTGATTGTTATGAAAACTTGTCTGCCAGTCTAAATCAGAGATGCGATCAAAAGAAATTGCTACATTTTTTTTCAGCATACAAATTATAGTGCCATATTTTTCTGTGTCAAAGACGATATGTTTTCTCAGATATTTTGGGTTGAAGTTGGGGTTGTCTAATACACGGAACGTGTTTAAAGTATTGATTTCTGAACACTGAAAAATACAGCACATACTGATTGCAAGAAATGGGGAAGCATGATCAGCCACACCATTCGGCAAAACACTGATAATAATAATGATCAACGCTTCCATAATAACATGTAGCACATATTTTTAAACTGTGTTTATTTACAGAAACACCATTGAAACCTTTTTACTAATTTCTGTCTTTGCTGGTTAGATCCAAAGAAATTGATTGGATGCCATATTTCACACAAAAACTGGTAGATGACTTTGCCTCTCACATACGCTTGTATCGCAGAGCAACAGATAGGACTTTTCAGACTAAAAGTGAAGGTAATCAGTATAAAGTTTTTTTTTTTTCATGTTCAGTTACATTTGAATGAACATTAAACTCTGTTACATTAGTGTGAAATTTGTTGTTTAAAGTATATAAGTGAAAAAAACAATCTACATTCTTTGGTCATGTAATGGCAAGGCGAAAATTGAAGTACATCGTGACAGTAGGAAAGTTGGAGGGCAGAGGGAGACCGAGAGAACAGATGCTGGACAGTTTGACATCATGGCATGGAGGATCATTTGTGTCAGAGTTTATTGAAAATATATGAGACAGAAGGCTGTGGATAGACATGACTACCAAAACCGCATGGCATGGAAGATCATTTGTATCAGCATTGAATGAAAGTACACGAGACAGAAGGTTGTGGATAGACATGACTACCAACGTAACACGGCATGGACTTTAAAAAGAAGAAGACGTAAAGGTTTTAGGTTTTAAACAACACATCAGCATCATGGCACAAGGGTGTAACCCATAAGTGCTCCATTCTACTTCTTACTCAAGCCTGAGTTTAAAGAATCTCAGCACAGTGCCTGAAATCCATAGCAACGGCAAGGATCCAGAAATAGTTAGTGTAGATTTTAAACTCCAAATTTTACCCAGGCAGTGCCATTAGGCTACTCTTTTCGATTTCCAATTGCCAAGGAATTTTTAACATGTGCAGCAACATACATGGGCGGTCGATCCTACTACTCAAGAGACCAGGGGAAGTTACTTATAACTCCACGTGAAAAAATTCTAGCCCGAACCCGGGACCCCAGCACTCGAGGCAGACGCCATGCCTCGAGACCACTCAGCCCCCCCTGAATAAGTATATGTTCAGTCAAGTTTACACTTGAACACTTAAAACTAAAACATAAATATGAACTAACAAGAACAGAAGATTAAATAAAATGTTAATGAAAAAGCAGAATTTACATTCATTCATTCATTCAGTAGCATGTCCCTCGCGGAACCTCGCTGCCATAACAACCCTCCGGAAAACCTTCCTATCCTGAGCAAGATGTCCTGCGTCTGATACACCCATCTGGAGATCATCTGCCACATCCTGCACCCATCTTCTCCTTGGCCTTCCTCTTCCTCTCTTCCCAGGCATATACCCCTCCATTATTGTTCTCTCTAGACTTCCATGACGTTTCAAGTGACCAAAATATTTCAATTTTCTTTGTTTTATTGTCTTTACTAGCCAACCCTCTTCAATATTCAGCTCTTGAAGTATGGATGCATTTGTTCTTTTCTTTACCCAAGATATTCTTAGAACCTGTCTGTAACATTTATATTCAAATGCATTTATGCGCTGTTCCGCTTGTTTAGTAAGTGTCCAGGTCTCACAGGCGTATGTTGCAATGGGAAAGATGCATGCTCTTAAAAATCTGACCTTTGTAATTTTATTTGTACAATTCCATAATAGAATTTACATTAGTAAAGTGAAAGCAGCTCTATTGACCCACCAGGGACCAGTGACTGCGTAGTGGTTAGATGCTTGCCTGCTGGCCTGAAGCTGTAAGATTGAAGTCCTAATTGAGCCAGATTTTCTTCCTCCAAAATGTGCCTTGACTCCTAGGTTGACTCGACCCAAAATTGGTACCAGGCAATGTCCTGAGAATTAAAGGCAGACGATGTAAAATTGAACATATCACTCATTGGTCTATAAAAATAAAGGTCTGAAGTGTCAAAGGCATGAAAATGGTACTTTGCTTTTTTTCCTACCTACTTAACCCACTATTTGCTGGAAATGGGGGCAGGGGGTTGGGAGTATACCCACTACCCTTATCAATCATATCGTAAATGGCTACTAAGATTTTGCTGAATTTGAATGTCTTTGGCACAGCTATTACAGCTTAGGTGTAAACCACAAAACACTATCAGCTGCCCCCCTTTTTTTTTGGTGACCTTGTGAATAGAAAAAGGAAATGAGGAAGGAAAAGAAAAGAACTAAGCTAAACGAACATGAAAATAACATGGAGTATTACAGCTTACATGATGCTTTAGAGAGGCCTGAGTCAGAAATTAGTAATTTAAAAAAAATTATTAGTTGGTGTTGATGGTGTAATGTAACTTTCAAAAGTAACAGTTTATACTAATTACAGTCTTGTTTCAGAAATTATACCCACTACCTGTATCAAGCATTACGTTAATGGCTACTAACTAATATTTTGCTGAATTCGGATGTTTTTGGCATAGCTATTACAGCTTAAATTGATGCCTTAGAAAGACCTGAGTCAGAAATTTTGTAATTCTTTGGTCTCAACATTGTAATGTAACTTTTAATAGTAACAGTTTATACTAATTACAGTCTTGTTTCAGGTGAGCATATTGTTTTATCTTCTCTGTAATCAAGACATTTCAAGTAAGCATGTTATGTTTCTCCTTTTTGTTTTTTCCAATGAAGACATTGTGGCAACTCTAGAAAATGCTTTCTTTGATATGGAGTGTGAGATGGATAACATGTGCAGAGACCTGGTGTGTCTGAAGCCCGAAGCAGAAAGACGTATGTACATAAATCATTACATTCGATTACATCTTCATAGTTGTATTATTACATTTGTGTGTCAGTGGCACACACATTGTAGGCAGCGCATGCATATGGTGTATTTAATAAAAGATTTAACCCAATGCTTCCAAACAAATAGAGACCTGTTGAGGCCTTTTATTTTTGAAAGTGTTCTGTGGACTTCATATCTGTTAATTCTTTCTGTACCAGGAAATGCACTACGTGTTTATCAGATGCTCTGTATGAGATATGCACTTCTGAATTTCATCAATCCCATTCCTGTATTACAGTGGTCTTCAAAGGGGGGGGGGGTGGGTGGGGGGCGTAGGAGGTTTCAAGGGGAACATCAAGCAGTTTTTGAGTTCATTTGCATTTGTAATAATTCGTTATGCTTACATTTTGGTTTAATTAAACATTGAAAAAAATTTGTAAACTTTTTATTAAACAAAACATTAAGGACATTTTTGTTTTAAAAGATAGTTTATTTGTCTACCATTAAAAATCTAATTAATATGATAACATGCGCATTTAGTTAAAAATTATAAAAGCACATTCTGACCATAACGTATCTCTATACTTTCTGTTTCTCTTGTTTCGGAATCTGTTATCCTCTTATTTTTAATCAAAATTTGTCATCACGATCTGGAAAAGGTTGGAGACCACTGCTCTATTAAATGAATCTGTTCTGTCTCAAATGTTTCTTTCACTGATCTAGTTAAACTGTTGCATTATTTTAACTCATTAGGACGCAAAGATTGTAACCCTGAAATACATGGGCTATGTGATGGTCAGTGTTGGGTAATTAACTGCATGGGACTGAAAGAGTTAATAGTCTGAAGAATTTATTATAATAAAAAAAAATTAATCATTGTTTTATAACATTAAAAACGTAGAGAGGATTGCATTATAAAACTGTGGATGTTTTGTAAGTGATGTCACTGACACCTTAAATTTGCCTGTGGACTACGAAATTAAAAAGACTGCTCTGACCTATTTAGTATACATGTTTTACAAAATAATTTTTTTTTTTAAATGACACAGGGTCAGAGGTAAAAAAGAATATAGTTATATGGTCTCTGAAATGAGGCAAGCTGTATCAGCTGTAGACATAAGGTTAAGGTGCCTTCTTTCCTTTGGCAGCAGCATAATGTGGTACACTGAAACTACAAAATTGGGTGTTCGCATTCTGATGATAATATAAAGAATTTTTTTTATTGAAATTAGAAATATTAATACTACAGCTGTCAGTTGATTATTATAGATGGGCCAATTATTTTTATTTATAATAAATGTTAAAGACTTAAAATATTGGAGGTGTTTCGTTGAAAGGTGTGGATATCACAGCCTAGCTGTAAACTGCAAAACAGTGTGCTAGCTGAGCTTTTTAGGGTTTCCGTAGAAGAAGAAAGTCATGAATCGACATTTACATAAATTATAAACCAGGGCAAGCGGAAATGTTTTTTTTAAAAATTGGTTATTCAAAACAAAGTTTTCCCATTGTAAATTTAAATAATGCGGACACAAACAATACATTGCACAATTTATGTTGTATATTTTGCTGTATCTGAGGCACCCGAAGAGATACAGCGAAATAAGCCACACAATAAATCGTGTAGTTTATTGTTTGTGTCCGCATTATTTAGATATTTATTGCATATTGGGAACTCAAAGAATTGGATAATCTCATTTCTTGTCATGGCTCTATAGATGTTTGCTTATTTCTATTTTCCACAGAATACCTGCAAGATTTAAGTGATGTATTACTGTTTTTATTATTGCCAAAAGAAGATTTCCACAATAAACCATTTCGCTACATTGTGCGAGTAAGTAGCGGGATAAATTGAATGTTTGTTTTTGTGTACATTTACACACACACACACACACACACACACACACACACCACACCCCCACACAACCCTCCCCCCACCCCCTACACAACAGCCTGGTCATCTGAACTGCTGGTGACATTTCTCTTCTATCCCACTCATTGAATCAGATGCATGATAAACATACATGATGAGAGCTCTCAACAATTACATCTAAAAATCCATAAGGGACAGACAAAGATAATGATACTAAACCATGCAAACAGTTCAATCTCTGTTGGCGATATCCCCACTGCAAGATGTAGAGTCCTGCATCTATATAGGCAGTAATGTAGATAAAGATAGGGCAAATTGTAGGAACTTTAAAGGCTCAGAATGATGAAGAAGAAGCAGCAGTTGATGACTTGATGTTTAGTACAATTATTATCATCATTGTATTTTGTCAAGATAGACACGTAATAAATTTACAAATACAAATTTTAAAACTAAAGGTGCAGTGTATCATTTTGTGTGGCAAGAAGCTACTTGATTAGATAAACAAAACCTTGTTGTGTGCCGGACACAACTACACCACTGATCATTTTCTGTATTCAGCCGTAACTGCAGAATTGTGCTCATGCACTGAAATAAATCCCCCCTCCCCTTTTGGGGAAGGGGGGGGGGTCAGATTATTTTGCTTATATCTCTTCTTAGCTTTCACTAGCAGTAAATTCTGGTGGAAAGTTCTGGTTGTTCATGGACTTCCTTCTGGACTTTCATCTTGTTCCAGTACTTGAGTTTTGCATGCACATCCAGTTTACAGTCTAAATTCTACTCCCTCCCCCCCCCCCCCACCCCACACGTTTTTTAAACCTTTTAAATCATATAGCCCATTCATCCAAGTGTTTATTTTCTTGTGGGGGGGGGGGGGGGGCTTCTTCCTTAAGTTCATGCCTGGCTCAACGGGTTTAAAAAAAGGGGAACAATTTAGACTTATTTTCAGACTGGTGATCAAGTGAGATTGTGAATAACTATAACCAAATCATACCGTCAATGGCACATGATGATTATAAATTTTTAACAGTATTAGTGGTTGATATTTATATTTAAACTAATTTTACTACTGCCAATTCTCATCTACAGGAAGTTCTAGTCAACGGAATATTCTTACCCTCAATGGATTTGTTATCAGATCCTGATTACATCAATCAGTATATTGCATGGCTGGTAAGACTTCATGTCGTTTCCCCTGTTAACTTTTGAATTGCACTATAGAGTTAGTTGCATATCTATTAGAGGAGTTAGTTGCATATAGATTACAGGAGTTAGCTGCATATCCATTACAGGCGTTAGCTGCATATCCATTACAGGAGTTAGCTGCATATCCATTACAGGCGTTAGCTGCATATCTATTAGAGGAGTTAGTTGCATATAGATTACAGGAGTTAGCTGCATATCCATTACAGGCGTTAGCTGCATATCCATTACAGGAGTTAGCTGCATATCCATTACAGGCGTTAGCTGCATATCCATTAGAGGAGTTAGTTGCATATCCATTACAGGCGTTAGCTGCATATCCATTAGAGGAGTTAGTTGCATATAGATTACAGGAGTTAGCTGCATATCCATTAGAGGAGTTAGTTGCATATAGATTACAGGAGTTAGCTGCATATCCATTACAGGCGTTAGCTGCATATCCATTACAGGAGTTAGCTGCATATCCATTACAGGCGTTAGCTGCATATCCATTACAGGAGTTAGTTGCATATCCATTACAGGCGTTAGCTGCATATCCATTAGAGGAGTTAGTTGCATATAGATTACAGGAGTTAGCTGCATATCCATTAGAGGAGTTAGTTGCATATAGATTACAGGAGTTAGCTGCATATCCATTAGAGGAGTTAGTTGCATATAGATTACAGGAGTTAGCTGCATATCCATTACAGGCGTTAGCTGCATATCCATTACAGGAGTTAGCTGCATATCTATTAGAGGAGTTAGTTGCATATAGATTACAGGAGTTAGTTGCATATAGATTACAGAAGTTAGCTGCATATCCATTACAGGCGTTAGCTGCATATCCATTACAGGCGTTAGCTGCATATCCATTAGAGGCGTTAGCTGCATATCTATTAGAGGAGTTAGTTGCATATAGATTACAGGAGATAGTAAAGCAGCACAATCATTTGTTGGCTGCTTGTGATTTTACTAGGCAGTTTAAATTTAATAATTTGCTATTACTTTCTGAACTGTTCAGCACTAATATAATAGCATTGTCGAAATCAGTGCAGTCTGCTACTTAATCACCCGCAGCTGATTTCAGATGCTAGAACGTCGAAATTATGCAGCTGCTTAACTTGCACAGATATATTTGTATCATTGTTTGGTGTATTCATTTGTTTCATAGGTATTTTGAAGTATTGTTATTTTGATAATAATTGTTTTTGTGGAGAGGGTTTCAGACTTCACAGAACCACAAATCTGATGATGGTGAGAATATTATGTGGATTGTAATGCAGTTTATCATGTGCAACTTCAGTGGACATAGAAATTCAATGCTGTAAAAGTCTAACATACATAAGAAGCAAAGTACTCATTTTGTGAAGTTAATAGAAATTCCAGGTCTACAGGCTGCTTTCTGCTGGCATAGCCTAAGATGAATAAGAGGCTTAGTGTACGGAAGTGAGATTAAACAGTCATGAGCAGTGTGTGTCGATTCCTTGTGTGAGCCCAGAACCAGAGCACCATGTATTGGCTCTTCATTTATGGAAACCTCCTTGGATGACAAGAAATGCTTATGTTCTACGCCTGCCTTCTCTTGACCAGCATTATGGGGTTATTCTGGACTGGCCTGATGGGATGCACCACCTGTGTACTAGGAAGCAAAGATGACTACACAGCATTGAAAATGCATGGGCATTTACAGCTTGCTCTTCAGGCAGAACAGTTAAGGAAGCCAGCGGTGCCTTCTCCGTGACCACCAGCAGCATGACGATGCAGGTGATGGCGGTGACACAGGCTTTCATGTGGCTGGGATCACAGGACTATTCCCGTGTGTGTGTGCTGAGTGATTCTTTGAGTATGATACGGTGGGTCAAGGCAGACTGGTTACGCAGACAGTGGCTTGAGTCATTGCAAAATTCTCCTGTGAATGCAGTTACTTTCATATTCGTCCCAGGGCATGCAGGCGTCGTTGGTAATGAGAGAGCTGATACTGGCAGGTACTGCATTAATTGAAGATGGCCAGCCCATGGATCACGCAGACATTGTCATTGCCCTTAGAGAGATAGGACGTTCTGAGGATTTTAGAAGCAACGTGTCCACATCACTTCTAAGAATACGCGAATTGGGAGTAAAGATCGGCACAGCCAAGCATGAGAAGCACACAAAGTCTTGTTAACCAACATAGGACTTTTACCATTATCTTAACCACATGACGCTGATGAATATGTTGAGAGGGAAATCTGAGCGCCTAGGGATGTGTCCGGAGTGCTGTGAAGATAATCTAACTCATAACTCATGCAGTGTCCCATTAAACTAACTTTGAAGACTAACCTTGGCAACAAATGTCCACAAAAGTCAGAAGACATGAAAATCGCTGCCATGTTGTAAACGAGCACAAAGCCTTGACATCTTTGGATGAATGGAGAAGAAGTAATGCTGTTTGAGAAAATGTAATTTCATTCTGTTCCAGAAAGTACTGAAGTCTGCAGATTGTCTCTGCTTCTGTCTTCTATTTCTGCATAAAGATGTCACCTGTGAGTTGAACAATCCAGTCCATTAAACGAACTCAAGACCTTGAGAGCATGAGGCAAATATCTTAACTACTTGGCCACCGTATCATAGTAGTGAATCAAATTGTCAGGAAAAGGTACTGGATAGGGCGCACAATGAGGCAACCTGTCTTTGGGCTGTATAACCTAACATGAGATAACTTTCGTTGGCTTTTTCTTTATTGTCATGTATTTTGTGCATTTCAGTGCCAGGAGTCCTCATTTACACGTGAGACATTTCTGACTGTGATTCGCTCCAGCGACTCTATGGAAGAACTGGAGGCAGTGAGAGCTAAAGTTGACAGTGACATTGCCAAATGGCGATCCAAGGACACAGGCGGCAGTGATGGTGAGGCATGTTAAAGCTTGGTCTTTGTCTTGTGAAACGCATAATTTGTACATGTGGAAAGGATAAGGAAGCTGCATATATACAAGACTGCATTTCAGTGCTAGGCACCATCGTTTGGCTTGAGACATTTCTGCCTGAGAGATAGAGGAAGACAGGGATAGATCATCCTCAAGAACCTTTTGTCCTGGCATGGAAGATCTCAAGATGTGGATAAACATGATCACCCACACTGGTCAGCAAGGCACTTGACTCTTTCTGTCTGAAGCAGTGCACTGTATGTGTTTAGTTATTACCTTAATGTCTCCACAGTTGCGTGCTGTATTTATTGCATGGTTTAAATGTTGACCAAACGTACTATAAAAGCATGGCAAGATATTATAACATTATCATCATCATGTGCCATGCCGGTAAGTGCAGGCTGTCATGTTTCGCCATCTCCCATGATCACCAGAATCATCGATCAGTTCAGTGTTTTTGTCTTGCCCAATCCGTCTGGGCAGGGCATCTAGGTATTTATCTCTTTGCCTTCCCCTTGCTCTCTTTCCGTCAATCTTGCCAGTTGTTACCAAGTTCTCGAGTCCATTTCTTTTCATAGTGGCCCAACGTGCTAGCTAATTTGGTTAAACCAGATGCGCTGCGACCGGGTGACAAACTCCTTGTGGTCCGAGTTCACGCTCGGGGGTAGGCAGAAAAGCCATATATTTTCCAGATTTATGGTATCTATCAGGGAATCAAGGCCGAAGGATTGCCATATCCGCAGTATCGACCCAAAGTGTTTACACCTCATGGTTTCTGGATTTAAAAAAAAAAAAAGATTTTTCTCATCATAGCATCTCCCAAAAATATTGACTTCTGCCACTAACTGTTGTAATAAGTTTGCGACTTTCATCTATCTCGCTGGAGACTGCTTCATTTGTGTTACTGTCTTTCCATGATATTCTTCTCGGAAGCCACATTTCTGCCTCAGGTATATTTTTTCAGATTGTTTGCTTATTGTCCATGTTTCACATGTATATAACAACACAGGTTCAACATAACACTTCAACCCATTTTTCTTACTACAGTTGACATCTTTTTAGTGAGAATCTTTTGCAACTTGCTAAAGGCTACTTTTGCCCTGGCAGATTGTAACACTAGCACTGTAAATAAGATTGTAACACTGGCTTTATGTTAATTTAGACAATGGTATGGAGTGCTAACTATTCAGGAAACAGTGGCACATGCCACAAGGCATTCTAGGAGTAGAGAAAAGAAGAAGTGGCACACGCCAGGAGGCATTCTAGGAGTAGAGAAAAGAAGAAGTGGCACACGCCACAAAGCATTCTAGGAGTAGAGAAAAAATACGAAAAAGAAGTGGCACACCATAAAAAATGTAAAATTGCCCATTTAAACCACAAATATTCAACAGAGGCATGGGTTGGCTTTGCAAATAACCTGTATAGGACATTTAGCTAACTCAGTCGGTAATTGAACTCTACATTACTATAATAGTGAGCGTGGGCACCAACTGTTATATTACTATGGCATAATTTGTTTGTTAAAATGGTTAAGGTTCCTCCCCCTTCCCTTTTATTATTGAAATGAAGAGTGGCTCAAAGAGTGGTTAAAATGCTAGGCTCTCGTACTGGGGACCCGGGTTTAAATCTTCAGGAAGGTGGTGGACATTTTTTTCTCTCTTGGCAAAAAAAAAAAGAATCCTAACCTGCTCACTTGATGGTGACTGCACTAGCTGCGCAGCACTAAATCAGAGAGAGAGATGAGAGATAGATAGAGAGAAACCCCCTCCCCATATTACCCTAAACATGATAAATGAGGCAGTTATGACATTTAAAAAAATAATGTTAATAATGCAAAAAGTGAACACTTTCAACTGACATACACAAATGACACACAGTGTCTTGTTTCCTGTTATTGTCAAACACATCACTGTTTGCTTGTAGACTAGCCTATTATATACAATCTTAAGAGCCCAATGCACTCACTGATCATTGTATTATAAAGATACTGCCATCAAGCAGAACCTGAACAGCCTGATGTTTCTCCGTGACACTTGTGATATGAGGATTCGTCGCTTGTTAGATGGTCCGCTCTCTGCAGAACCTATACTTGATGTAAGTTGTTCTGTCAGGTAGTAAAGGTTTTTTTTGTTATCTGTGAGCATTTATTTAGTAGAGTTTTATTACTTTTTATATGGTAGAAAAATTCTTTAAGATTCAAAACTTTACTGCCTATCTAGCCTAAAATCAGTACCAGGAGATGTCCTGGGAAGTAAAGGTGACTTGCATGATGTTGAATACCTCATACATCGAGTGCAGACTACTCGATAACAGTGTGGATCTGGCATCAATAGGCTTATTCTGCAAGTAGTGTGAAAATTATCAAGTTTTCTTTAAATAGCTTTTCACATAACTGTTTTATTTTAGTTCGACAAGGCAGTAGTGTGTGCACATTCCCAGCACAGTTAGTAATATTTAGATTTAGAATAATATTTGTAAATAGCTTAAATTTCCCTTAGATTTATTACAGTTACTATGGTTTACAGTGTTTAGAAATGTAGGTGTAGTGCGAGTATATTCCATTGCTTGTGTTTAATATTTAGCTGCTGTTAAAAATGTTTACTATTAAGGGGTAAAAGTTGAATGAAATGATGTGTAGAAGGAGGGAGATTATAAGGGCAGAATATTATACAGGCCCGTGTGCCCAATTCTAATATCTTCATTCGTTACTGTATCTACCTTTTTGGTTACTTACATTAGAAAATGTTCACCTGGGATGTTAAAATTGAGTGTGGTTTTTTTTAACCCATGTTACAGGAGTTAGAGAGCTGCAGGTATAACAGCCTCTGTGTTCTGACACTGGATGAGATCATGACTAATGCCACAGCTCTGCAGTCTTTCATCGGTAGGCACATATTTTTGGTGTGCTCTTTGGTTGTTTATTGTTGGTTGTTCTTTGGTTGTTTATTGTTGGTTGTTTATTGTTGCTCATAAGCCTTGCTTATACTGAGCACATAGATCATGTGATTTAAAAAAAAAGGCAAGCGGGTTTGGCTGCAATGAGATTGATGGCTACAGCAAACTGTGAGCAGCATCATTTATGTCTTTTATATCAGGGTCTGGTCCTTTCTGTCTTTGAGTATGCGATGGCAATCCTGACTCTCTGCCATATGCAGATGGAAAGGATGCAGAATGAGGATATGCGCAATATACTTGGATGTACAAAATATACAAGCGGTGCGGTAAGCCGTGCACTACTTTCTTGATTGCAACCATGGAGGATAGATTTCAAATTTGCCGAGCAGGTGCTTACCTCAGAATCAGCGCAGACACATGACACTCACTGCTTGGTGAAATTAAGTAGAAAAAGGCAGCAGGTTAAAAAGAGGAAAATCAAGGATTTGTGCTTTGCAGGAAGCCAAAGAAGAATAAGAAATCAATACAGAAATGGTTTCTTGAGATGCTACATGCTGCGGGGTTTACTAAGGCGGGAATTCGAGCACTTATGGGCAGATGGTTCGATTTGCATTGAGGATAGTCTGTCAACTAACTAATTAACTATTATTGATTGTTCCTTGGTTGTTTATTGTTGGTTTTTTCTTTGGTTGTTCTTTGTTTATTGTTGGTTGTTATTTTGTTGTTTAATTTTGGTTGTTCTTTGGTTGTTTACTGATGATTTTTCTTTGGTTGTTTATTGTTGATTGTATTTTGTTAAGTTTTGAACATGACTTACCTATAAGAGTCAGTAGCAACATGTTTTTTGTGTCATTTTTTGAGATCCATTTGGCTAATGTTTCCCAGCAAGCTTCTATAGACTTACTCTCAACTAAGGAACTTGTTGTGTAGAAAATAAACTATAATGAAATTATTGTAATTTTCTTAACTCATTTTATAAGAAACAGTTCACTGTGTATTCATTGGTACTCTGTATATTGAATATGTTTCTAAGGAAAGATCAGACTGATCTGAATTTGTAGTGGGTAATTGATCAGTGTAGGAGGATATGCTAGGTATAGAATGGGCAACAAGAATCAAATATATAAAACATGTACATAATACCTAGATTGCTTATGTGTTCTGGGTGTGGGTTCTGGGGCCCCATTGTGGGGGAAAACAAGAATAGACCCACTGTCTTTCGAACAAGCATGTCAAAGGAGTCGACTTACTGGGGTCTTCCTTTGAAATTGGAGTGCGTCTACCCAAGCAGCAAGGAACAACCAGCTGCACACAAAGAAGCCAGTAAAATGGATGTGCACAAAGTCGAAGTCCGGATGGATGAACAACCCAGACTTTCCGCCGGAGCTTACAGCCAGTGAACAAAGAAGAAGAAGCTTATGTGTTACGGGACTCACAAGAGGGGCTAAGAATTTAACATAACTGTGAGTCATTGATACAAGAGTGGCTACCACATCCTGTATAGCAGCCTTTTCCATTTGGTGGTCTGTAGACCCCCAGGGCCCGACGACACAAATGTAAGCAGCTAGTAATATAAGTTAATCAGTCAGCATGTCATTTACAGATTGTCACTTTCTTCCTGGCACACCTGAAAGTCTCTCTCTTTCTCTAGCAAATTCTCCAGCTCTATGTGGTAATGGTGCTATCAGTTTTGTTTAAATCCTTATATTTAGAAAGCAATCACATTAACGAATCTAATATTTATATATTATAATAGGTTTTTCAGTATGACTATTCAGAAGTATGGGATCTGTGACAGATCTTCAAAAAAAAGGAGGTCACTGGTACTAGCTAATAGGGAACTACTGCTGTAGAATACCTTAGCTGCGAAAACTGACCAGTCTATCTCACACATATATGCGCACACACACAAATGTAATCATCAAACCATCTAATTCCTAATCATGTAAAAAGTAATTGAATAGATCAAAATTATTTGTTTTAGTAGCAACATAATTAAATAAATCACCATAATTTGTTTTAATGGCAAAGGCACACATTTTTTTGCATTTGATCTCTCCTGCTGATACAAATTACTGTATTAAGCTAAGCAGCTTATCAGCTTCTTTTAATTTGTTTCTACAGAATATGTGTCCAATCGAGGAGGCCAGCAGTATTTATTTTTCTACTTGAATGTTGAGGTAATACTTCACGCATTTGTTTATTTATCTTTATTGTTGATGGGGTGAAATGCTGAATTAAAAATCTGTTGATTATTGCTGACTCACCAGCTCAGTCCTTATTTCTTAACATTAAGGAGCAGTCAAGTGACCATTAGGGATTCAACCATTATCTATTTCAAAATTAGATGTGAAAAGGGCAAATATATAATAGGACATGCATCCACAACTACCAGTTAACAGAGGTGCAACATAATTAAATGAATTATTTTATGCACAATGAGGGAGAAAAAAATGGCATGGTGCTGGAAGAAACCTCAGATATACTGCAAAATTATTCAGAGAGATGGGCATGGTTATTTGAAAGTGAACAAATAAGAAAAAGAATCCTAACTAGTGATATGATTCCTTGCCCAGTTTCCTCAAGAGGGCGGTGAAACCGTATAGAATGTGTAGCAGCCATTTTTCTAGGAAATTGAAGATGGTTTGCAGGATCTTGATCATATGTTAAAGCTTTCCGATCAATGGAAATTTGAATCTAATTCCACATCTTCAGTTTTTCTTAAAAGCATGTGTCACAGGGTACTGTTGCTTGGTTCATCTAGGAAGTATTCAGTTACACATTTTAACTAATCACCAGTTAAATGAGATGTTTGAAAAAGGCTGGAAACGGCCCGAAGAAATCGTGGGCATATCTAAGGAATATAACCCACACTGATGATAGAGAAATAACGCAGGTAAGAAAAGGACAATTTTTACACCTGTGGCGTTGGACATTTGATGCTAGACTCATATTTTATAGAACAAAGGGCACTCCACAGGTTATGTGGTCAACATTGTGCCAACCGTCTTTACTTCGCAGGTCTTTGCCTGGTACCTACATAAGGCAAATGTTTCTTTTATGACATTTGTATTAGAGACATATAACATGAGAATTTTCATTTTTAAATTATTTTTTATAGGAAAAGAATATGAGACAAATGTTTCTTAAATTTCATTTGTAAAGCAGCTCCCTCCATGAGCTCTAGAGCTCCATTTGTGGGTGGGGACTGAGGATGGGGGGGGGGGGGGGGGGGTGGGGGGGGGTGGAGGAGTAGACCCTCCCAACAAGCTTGTCATAAAAAGTGACTAAAATGGGGGTTTGCTGAAATCAGATATGCTGGGTTGAAAGGCACAGATATTACAGCCTTGCTATAACCACAATGTGCCAACCGCACTTTTGAAGCAAAAGAAGATTTTCAAAGCATAATTTGTGTTAGAAATAAAATTGTTCTTGTTCCTTTAATTGCAGGGCTTTAGAACAGCTGCAGGACAACAGATTGCTGAAATGCAGAAACAGTCACATGACACAGCCACTGCAGTAGAACCAGATCTGAAATCTTTGCGTCGGGCTGCCAATATCATTTTTGACCAGTATCTTTCCGAAAAGGTAAAAGTTCAAAAGGGATCTTTGTGAAGGACAGAGGTTGCTTCATATGCATTTCTGTATGAGATAAGATGAATGAAAATTAGACATTTAAAACAGAGGTTGCTTCAAATATGCATTTCTGTATGAGATAAGATGAATGAGAATTAGACATTTAAAACAGAGGTTGCTTCAAATATGCATTTCTGTATGAGATAGGATGAATGAGAATTAGACATTTAAAACAGAGGTTGCTTCAAATATGCATTTCTGTATGAGATAAGATGAATGAGAACTAGATATTTAAAACAGAGGTTGCTTCAAATATGCATTTCTGTATGAGATAAGATGAATGAGAATTAGACATTTAAAACAGAGGTTGCTTCAAATATGCATTTCTGTATGAGATAAGATGAATGAGAATTAGACATTTAAAACAGAGGTTGCTTCAAATATGCATTTCTGTATGAGATAAGATGAATGAGAATAGACATTTAAAACAGAGGTTGCTTCAAATATGCATTTCTGTATAAGATAAGATGAATGAGAATTAGACATTTAAAACATAGGTTGCTTCAAATATGCATTTCTGTATAAGATAAGATGAATGAGAATTAGACATTTAAAACAGAGGTTGCTTCAAATATGCATTTCTGAATGAGATAAGATGAATGAGAATTAGACATTTAAAACAGAGGTTGCTTCAAATTTGTATTTCTGTATAGGATAAGATGAATGAGAATTAGACATTTAAAACAGGTTTCTTCAAACATGCATTTCTGTATAAGATAAGATGAATGAGAATTAGACATTTAAAACAGAGATTGAATTAATTTTTGAATATAATACTGTTGAGATCAGGGAGAGTGGAGTTTGATGTCTGAGCAGTGCAAATAAATACTGGTTCCCCCCCCCCCCCCCCCCCATAAAGTCAACCCCCCCCCCCCCCCCCCGTCTGGGAAATACTTCCCAGGTACCAACGCATTTTAACAGCATAATAAACATGAGAATTGTCAGTTGTTATGTATATTTCTTCTTCTTCTTTTTGGCGTTCACCGACTGTAAACCCCAGCAGAAAGTTCTGGTTGTTTATCCACTTCTTTTTGAATAACTTAAGTTTTGTCCGTTTTAAGTTCTGGTTTTTTTTGTTTTTTGTGTATAAAGATTGTTGGTTTCTGGCCTTTCTGACAGATGCACTCTGACCTCAAAGGAAGTACGCCTAATAAGTCATCTTTTATACATGCTTGTTAGATGTCCTGAGTCTATTTTTTTTTTTTTTTTACCTAAAATTGGACTCTTGAACCCCACATGGACCATTTTGTATATTTACCTGTTTTAAATGGAGCAGAAACCTGGCCACTGAACAGGCAATTAGTTTAAAATCGCATTTCTTGGGGTTAAAAAAAAGTTAAATGCAGAGATCCAAATAGATATAATGAAAAGACAGTTATTAAAGACAATTGCTTCTAAAGTTAAATATTTTGTCCACTTTAAAAGACAAAATTTTTAGAAAAACCTTACTGAAGGAAAAAGTTAAAATCAAGTAAGCAAGAGGTAGGCAGTGATACAAATGGGAGGATAATCTCAAAAAAGACAAACAGCAGCCTTAGAGAATGTACCTGGACAGGAGCCAGAGTGTTGAAGATCTTTACAGCCAACCTCCAGTGGGGGAGATGACACCTGATTGATTGACTGATGCATAAGATTTAAAGAGGTAAATCTTACAAAATATTCACAGCAACAATAATTGTAACTGTATATTCTTTAAATAACCTAATGTTTCTCAGGCTGTGTCAAGATTGAAAATAGAACCTGAATTCATCAAGTATACGGTGCAGAAAATGAACAACAAAATGATGTCCGAGGATATTTTTGATACAGTCCAAGCCAGGGTACGTTGTCACATTCAGTTTCAAATGTTGCTTAAGAATAGTTTGTGTGTGGTTTTGTTGACTCTCTAAAGCCACATATTTTGTTTCATTACCACAACTCATTACATCCTAAACACATGTTACTTAAAGTAAGACACCTTTAGGTTTGCAATGGGTCACATAAATATAGTTTAGGACAGAATGAGTTAAGCAAAAATTGGTATCAAATAGGCTAACATACTCTCTAGAACTAAAAAATGAACGAACTTTGTTTTCACAGTGTCAAAATTGGACAAGCGGACCCGTCTTACATTCGCTCCTTCCAAACACTCATTTGTTTAACACTGGATGAGAATGAAGGAGTTAAGAAAGACATATTTTAAAAGTAACTAGTAAACTCACGATGAGTTACTTGGTACTACACAAATTAATTTTATATTGTAGGGGGGAAAATGTGGCATTCCAATAATGAATTTAATCAGATGTCCATGATTGGTTCTGTGTGCTACATATTGGGGGAAAAAAGAATAGACCCACTGCTCATTAACAAGCAAGTTGTAAAAAGCGACCAAGGATATGGTGAAGTCGCACAGATATCACAACCTATCTATCTGTCTATCTATCTATATCTCTATCTATCTATCTATCTATCTATCTATCTATCTATCTATCTATCTATCTATCTATCTATCTATCTATCTATCTATCTATCTATCTATCTATCTATCTATCTATCTATCTATCTATCTATCTATCTATCTATCTATCTATCTATCTATCTATCTATCTATCTATCTATCTATCTATCTCTCTGTCTGTCTATCTCTCTGTCTGTCTGCCTGTCTTTCTGTCTATCTTATCTGTCTGTCCATCTATCTATCTATCTATCTATCTATCTATCTATCTATCTATCTATCTATCTATCTATCTATCTATCTATCTATCTATCTATCTATCTATCTATCTATCTATCTATCTATCTATCTATCTATATATCTATCTATCTATCTATCTATCTATCTATCTATCTATCTATCTATCTATCTATCTATCTATCTATCTATCTATCTATCTATCTATCTATCTATCTATCTATCTATCTATCTATCTATCTATCTATCTATCTATCTATCTATCTATCTATCTATCTATCTATCTATCTATCTATCTATCTATCTATCTATCTATCTATCTATCTGTCTGCCTGTCTTTCTGTCTATCTTATCTGTCTGTCTGTCCATCTATCTATCTATCTATCTATCTGTCTGTCTATCTATCTATCTATCTATCTATCTATCTATCTATCTATCTATCTATCTATCTATCTATCTATCTATCTATCTATCTATCTATCTATCTATCTATCTATCTATCTATCTATCTATCTATCTATCTATCTATCTATCTATCTATCTATCTATCTATCTATCTATCTATCTATCTATCTATCTATCTATCTATCTATCTATCTATCTATCTATCTATCCACCCATCCATCCATTATTATATATATTCCAACCTTCATTTTAAGGGAAATATAGAAGACGAATAAGAAGATATATCTAGATGTATAAATGTTAATTCAGTCATTTAAAATGATTTCATTTTTTTTGGGCCGCCAGGTGTACCAGATCTTGCACTGTGAGTACTATGAGGACTTCTTGCATTGTCCCGCATACATTAAACTCTTAGGAGACTTGGGTTTGCTTAACAGTAAAGGAGAAGATGGAGACAACCTGAGTGTAGAAGAAGGTATGAATTGTTAGACAAGCTACATATTATTTTATCAGTGTCAGTTCCTGTGTCGTTTCTCGTGTTTTATTATGTTTTAGGCTTTTATTTATATTGTTATTAATTCATCATCATTATTATCATGTTATGCCATTATACGTCGCATACCGCTCTCAGACTAGTCCTCTATTTTGTTTTCTACAATCCTCGGTGTCTTGGATGCAATCTATTCTGCCGCCTTTGGTCTCTCTTATTCATTCTTGGTTAATTTCAGCTTATGGTATACCTACATATTGATATATATATTGTTACTAAGTACATCAGTAAAACAAAAACAAAAGGTTTTTTTTCCCCAAACTGGGACCTGTATAGTTTGATATTTGAAACTTTAAAAAAAAAAACTCTTTACTGCCCGTATTAATCACTGTTCACTGTTTTGGGCAATGTAGGATAGGGAAGTCTTGAGCCTGAGGATTTAGGGCTGTTTGGCTATTGCAGTCACCACAAACTGTGCAAACTGTGGAATTTTAATTTTGCCTCTAAGATAAGAAATTCTTCGATTTACCGAGGATTTGAACCTGAGTCTCTCAAGTGAGAGACCAGCACTCCTTAACGGCTTATGCAGCCATTCCTTGATGCATGCAAAGCAGTATATTTTTTTCTTCTCTATATTCCCTTCTTGTGGGGTACACATTTTGTACTTCTGTGTAGAGGCATGTATTTTTACCTCTACCCCTGTTGGGTTCCCAGTCCTATTTGGAGGGGGAGGATGGGGGGGGGGGGGGAATATTTGATTCACTGCCAGATTTATAAAATGAATGTGCTCGCAAAACTCAAAAGACTAAAGTCCTTAAGTGGACGAACAACTAGAACTTTCAGCTGGAGTTTAGAGCGAAGAAATAGAAGATATTTTTACCTCAACAATTGTAAGGCAGTCATTACATAGCTGGCCATATTGGGAGAACCTCCTCATTGGAGTTAGCGGCAGTGGATATGCCCATTTCCCGATTGTCTTTAGAAATAGCACAGGGAGAGACCCCAGTCTCTTCCACGGTATGACTCACATATCACTGCTGAAAGCCATACAAATAATCTGAACTAGCAGAGGCATGAGACAATTATTGCAAGTATTTCTAAGAATTAATTCTGTAAACCTTTCCTGTAATGATGTATTTTTGACAATTTTGTGACAAGTAAGTGATTAAAAATAGCAACACACAGATCAACTTGAAGACATGAGGTTCTTAAAACTGTTTGGTTTTTTTCTTGCTGCTCTCCTCTTTATTGTTTTATTTTTTTAAATTTCATATAGCTCTTTGATCATTTAGAGTATAAAATTTGTCATAGTTGTATGTTTGTGTTTTGTACTTTCTCTGTTTATCTTGTACCTTCTATTTTCTCCTACTTTGACTGCATGACGTTTTGCTTTCCTATTTATCAGCTAATGTTTGTGAAATGATTATATTTTTTAAAAGGACAATTTAGAGCAACAGAAATGTTTAAGACACACCCTTATAATAACTTAAACATTGTAATAATGTAGAATACTATTATGTAGACTATTATTATGCAGTTGTAAAGGTGCTTGCAATCAATCTTTGCTGTCTCCATACTGAAGGTTGATTGCAGCAGATTTCCAAAAGTGTCTCTCACCCTAGGTTATACATTTCCTAAGACTGCTGTTTGTGCATCTCTTGATGTTACCTTTTATCCAAACGCTATCTCTGTCTTGCCGGCCTGCTTTAAACTTTTTCTTCCAGTTTCCATGCACTAAATAATGGTTAAAAAACTTACAGGCTTCAGTGGTGTGTTCATGTATCAAGGTCTTTTTTATTGCTATTATGGGAAGGTCTTCACAAAAAGTCCAGCGTTTTGGGTGTATTCTGCTGCAGTTGAGAGCTTGGTGTGGCTTTGGGTGGATGTTATCTTTTCGAGTCAGTGTTCAGTCTGCAGTTGACATATTGTAGCACTCTTGAAAGATATGTTTGACTTATGCCATGAGGAATTTGATTATGTCAAGCATTATATTTACTAAGATGGCCTCACATTTTTTTAAAAATTAATGGGTAGGAAAATAGAAACTAAGGTGATGCTGTATATGAAGCAAGACTGGACCGTGGAAATTAAGATTGTGGCAAGAAACAGGCACATATGAAACATATAGAGTATGGCTTTAAGTAGTATCCCTAAGTAAACAAGATTCTGCAAGAAGTAGGGAAGTGGTTTGAACACTGTACATGTCGTATTTTATTTTTCCCTTCATATTTCAATGTGTTTGTTTGAAAATCTTTTCCCCAAAGGTTCCTGTGTTTATTTCTTCTGTGCTGTCCAAAAAAACTGCTGGTTTGTCTGTTTAAAAAGTGTATGTTTGTTTATTTTTCATTTTTCACAAAAAGATTCAAATATTGAGATTCTTGCTTATTGCCTTACACTAATAGACACACTTACACCTTACATTACTGTTTTTTAACAGCATGTAAGCTGTGTTGATTGTTGTTGTTGTTGTTGTTTTCCCTTTAAAAAAACAAAAATAATTTGTCACCTAACCATTCTCATGCTTTTTGTAAAAGTGAGTAAGTAAAGGACCCTTTTTACATGACACCAGGGATGTATCAGGCATATGATGCTAGACTTATATTTTTGCAGAATAGTTGGCACTCGATGGGTGATGTGGTCAACATCCCGCTAGCTCCCCTTACTTCCCTGGACTTCACGTGGTGCTCACTTTAGGCTGGGTCGACCTGAAAGCCAGGATAATATTTTAACATATTTGACTTGAAAAGAGAATAGGGGCTTTTGAGCTGAAATGCTATAGAAAGATTCTCAAAATATCTTGGACAAAGAAGATGAGAAATATTGACATCTTAAAAGATCTGAACATCAAGGAAGATTGGCTAATAAACAGCATCCATTCTCAAAAACTGAAATATTTTGGTCATATCAAGCCCCACGAGGGGTTGGAAAAAATTATAGCAGAAGGCATGGTATCAGGAAGGAGGGTCAGGGGCTGACCGACAAGAAGATGGGCACAGGATATAAGTGACTCCTTGAGTGTGAAAGTGCATGAGGCGGGAGAACTGGCAAGAGACCTAGTTACTTTCAGGCAGACTGTGATGAGAGTGACGTTCTGTAAAGGACCTGCTACATGATGATGATGATGATCTGACTTGATGTGGATTTTAACCCAACACCTTGAACCTGAGGCATAGTATCTAGCCACTATGCTGACATGGCTTCCTCTAGTGCTTTTTAAATTGTAACAAATCTATTTCGTTTTCTTTGGACAAGTACAAAAGTGTAAATATTCAAGCACATAGATAACAGCAAACGGAAGAACTGTCTCAGAGATTAAGAACAGAATTGGGCAGGTAAAACCTGCATTTTATAAAATGAAGATTTTTTGCAATAAAACCCTGGATAAAACAAAAAATATTGTGTGCTACACAGAACCAATTTAACATATGGCTGTAAATCTTGGACAATTAGTAAACAGGCAAAACAAATTGGGGACCTCATGGATGTGGTTTTACTGAAGAATGCTTAAAATTTTTTGGGCAATAAAAACCAATAGTCAAGATGTTTTGAAAGAGATGAAAACCTGAATACAACTTACCAAAACCATCGGAATGAGACAGTAATGGCCACGTCTTGGAAGGAATGAAACTTGAACATGTTGGTACAACAGGAAAGTTTTGTGGAAAGAGAGGTAGATGAAGACAATGTGAAAAGATTCTTAACAGCCTTTTGTCATGACAAGGATGTTAGCACACAAACTGATACGTGCTAGAGATCACAAGTCGTGGAAAGGCAATTGTCCATGCCACTCGTCAAGAACCTTGATGATAATGAAAAATTCATACCACCAACACAGTGAATAGTTCACTGCACTGAATAGTAGCTTTAAAAAAAAAAAAACACTAAGAATGAACCTAATAAAAGCCTATAAAAACACTATTTTCAAACATGTACTGTTCTCCTTGTCATTTCTTTTGTTTTAATTTAGTTTCAGTTGCAAGAATTATGTGGTTTAAAGTAGGTACTGAGTTTACTTACTATTAAGTATTTTGGAAGCATGCAATACATTTATTTTTCTCTTCTCACGTTTTTCTAATGCTTGTTTTGGCTGGTAAGGGAATTGCTTTTCCCTCCTATTTTGACCGCTTACATTTTGTTTAGAAACTGATTTTTGCTGAGTTAGATTAAGTTATTGTGGGCATATAGTTTCTTAACACTGCTTAGTTACAGGAGAATGCATGAAAACTTTGCCATTCATACTAACATGATAATTAACTGTTGATAAACAGATTCTTTGTACTCATACTTTCAAATTCTTTTCCATAGAATATTGGTGTTTTTTTCACATGTTATCAGCATGTAGCACTGAGGTAGTTTTCACATTGTCTCTTCCCCCCCCCCCCCCCCCAGAAGTTGACATAAATAAGTACTGTGTCCCTGAAGATTTCCAGTATTAAACTTCATCAGAATTGTGTGTGGAGGGAGGGAGAGAGAGAGAGAGACAGCAAATCATGATGTTTAAAAAGGGTAATTGACTGAAATGTCGGTGGGAAATATTTAAATGTCTGACAAGATGTGTGAATACACATGTACAAAGTCACAGTAACACAGTGACTAGCATTCTTGTCTGTTCAAATCCTAGGTAAATCTTCTAAAAAGATTTGGCCTCCCAGGTCTAACCAGCCATAAATGGGTATCATTGGCAGCTGTTCTTGGACAGAAGCTCTGACTTCCTGACAAACAGAGCATTTGCTTGTCTGATCAGGCAGATTCTGCAGCATGCTTTGTTTCAAACGTATTGCCACACATGGTCTCTTTATACATGGAACTTTATCCTTGATCTTTAATCGTTTCGCCATAGGCTTTGATTCTCATGCCTCCCCGTAGCACAATGTAAGACTAGTGTCTGGAAGGTGGGAAAGGTGCCAGCACGGTGGCTTTCATGCTTGCTAGTTCGTCATAGGTTTGAATCATGGTTGTGAAGTGAATTTTTTAAATTGACAGAGTATTAACCAAATCACCAACTGAATGCCTGTTGGTCTATATAAACATGGGACTAGCATCATATGCCTATTCACCTTAAGGATGAAATTGGACTCTTTTTCTTACAACAATAACACAAGTACATAATATAGCTTTTAGCAAGGGTGATGTTGGAAATTGTGGAAATTATTCAAAAAGGTGAATGCCATATAATGTTGTAGTTTACAAATAGGCTGGGATATGTGCGCCTTTCAACCCAATAAATCTGATTTCAGCAGACTCTTATTAATTGCCTTTTACAACATCTTGTTGAGAGTCAGTGGGTCTCCCCTCCACCCGTCCCTCCACCCCCAGAACCCACATAGAGAGCCGAACGGTACTAGCCTTGGAATTTGTCAAATATCTCACCCAGTGCATTTGATTAGCTGCGGGCCTTGCACCTTTCGTTGGTATCGACAGTGGTATTGAGAAGCCGACCATCCAGAAAGCAATGGCAAACTACTGGACCTAGAAAAACCACAACAGCCAATGCTGGTGTTGATTCTGCAACGTCCTGTAAAAGGATATGCAACTAACATGCATTTGATTAGATTAGCACTTAGTAATGTAATTTTAAACAAGTGCTCAAGTAAAGGACTTTTTGCATGCCATTGGCACTTTGGGCATGTACCTCGTAAAATATGTGGAAATAATGTTGGACTTTTGAATTTGTTTTATTATAAATACAATGGTAACGAGGAATTTGAACATGATCTGTTCCACGACGGCTTGGAATTCCAGGAAATGTTTCCTTGTTGATAATATTGGAAGCTATATATATCCAGGGTCCAACAATTCAAACTTTAAAACATTTTCATAAATACTGTACAGTACATTGTAAATATTCCAGAAAGCAATGGCAAACTACTGGACGTAAACTTGCCTAGGAAACCACAACAGCCAAAAAATGCTGGCGTTGGTTCTGCAACGTCCTGTAAAGGATACGCAACTAACATAACATTGTAAATATAGTAACACATGATGATCATATATGAATACAGACATAAGTAAATAAAATATAAACACATTGTATTTACTGTACCTTGATAAAATGTTGACGTTGCACATAGAAGTAGGAGGAGGAAGGGAGGTTTGGTTCCACAACAGCATTCAAGTTCCGAGGCAAAATTTACTGGAAAATTTTGTTCAAATTAAGGTGACCATAAGTCCCGTTTTTGTTGGGACGGTATGGTTTTTTTTTTTTAAAATAAGCTCAGACTGTCCTATCAATACTCAACATCCGTTGGAACAATGGAATTTTGTTGATGCTGAGTATTGACGGGATGGTCTGAGCCCTATCTAAAAAAACGATACTGTCTCGAGGATATGATCATCCTAGTTCGGATTCCATGTTATTCCAGTTTTGAGACGTTCGAATACCGAGGTACCACTGTATTAATGTAATTTGACAAGTTGATTAACAGTTTGATAGGGGGAAGAAAGTTTCTCATCTGACCACATCTCCATAATAACGGTGTAAATAGAAGCAGTTTGAAAACACTGCCTGCTTGCTGTGTTTGCCTTTTGATAATTATTATAAATTTTCTTTCTCTATTGTACTTTTTGTTTCCACTAGCATGACTAGAATCTCCACAGATTTGTTTCATTATCAACCATGTTCATATATATTTAAGGACAACACTAGGTGATCAGAATGCTTCTATTTTTCTTCCCTTTTATTTTCTGATGCCCTTCACATTCTAGAAGGAAGTGTGCCAACAGGTTCAGAAAGCTCACTGGGAAGTGTAAGTTACTCTACTTCTCTTGTTAATAATTTATTGCTACAATTTCTGTTAACAATAGTTACTTGTATGTCCTTTTTTGAGGACATTGTAAACCAGACCCATTTGTTGGCTGTTGTGTGGTTTTACTTGGCACTTTTGTGGTAACATTGTTTTCAGAATGATACTTCTCTTTTTCTTCGTTTTCACTGGCTGTAAACTCCAGCAAAAAGTTCTGGTTGTTCGTCCACTTTTGGATTTCAATTTTGTTCCAGAACTTTAGTTTTTTTGGCACATCCATTTTACAGATCTGATTAATTTTTTTGCAGACTTTTGGTTCCTCGCCGCTTAGGCAGATACTCTCTGACTTCGAAGGAAGCACCCCCAATTTGTTTACCATTACAGCGTGCCTGATGGGGAGGGGGGGGGGGGGCACTGGGTCCGTTCTTCTGAGACAGATTTTTATCTTTTTTATCCAGCATGAACTTGCTCCCAGGTCGACCCAGTCTAGAATGGGTACCAGCTAATGTCTGGCAAGTAAAGGTGTCCAGCATGATGCTGACCACCTCCCCCACCGATTGCTGATTGGTCTGTAAAATATGTGTCTAGCACCACATACTCACTACGCTTATGGGGAGGGACAAGGATCCTTTAACCTTTTACTTTTAGTAATAATTATTATTGCTTAAAAGTTTGATAATCTGAGTTATAAAGTTTTTTATTTTTTGTGATTCCAACATGAATTGTAATTTAAAAAATACAAAAGTAGATTGGCAGTATTTTGTCTATATATATTATTTATACATTTATTAATACAAAGATCAATTAAAAAAAACAGGAAAATAAAAAACCAATAAGGACAGTAAACAATATTAAGAATTCAGCAGCTAGAACACTAAACATACGGCTATTATCTTTTGGTCATATACATGAGATATACAAGAGATAAGATATAGTAGAATTATGGCAGAAGATTGTGCCTGAAATATAACAGATATAGTAGAATTAGGGCAGATAATTGTGTCTGAAATATCAAAGATATAGTAGAATTAGGGCAGAAAATTTTGTTTGACATAAAGGCCCTTATTATTATGGTTAAGTCCGATGGTACATACTGCAGTGTTTTTCTACTGCAAATTTTCTAACACCGCTTGTTCTGAATTCCTATGCTGTTCTTCTTCTTTTTCTTCTTAGCGTCCACCAGTTGTAAACTCTGGTGGTAATTTCTGGTTGTTTGTAAATTTTTGGGGACGCTGGTCTTGTTCTAGAACTTGAGTTTTTGCATGCAAATCCATTTGACAGATCTGGCCTGTTTGTATGCAGACCACGGTTGGTTCTTTGCCTCATTGGCAGTGGCACTCATACTTTGAAGGCAACAGCCCTTTTACAACATGCTTGTTAGGGGGCAGCAAGTCTGTTTGTTTTTGCCCCAAAATGGGGGCCCTGGAATTCACACAAGGCCAATGCTGTTCACTAATCCACTGACCCCAAATATAAAGTTATATTTTCAGTAACACCAACTACAGTTTACTAAAGTTTGTATAAATGCTTTCATCTTTCTTCCTATAATTTCTAATTAAGTTTTGTCATATATAGTTTACTGAGTTGTTTGGGAGTAGGCCAAAAAGGAGAGACCATGAAGACAGTAGAAAGATTATATACAGGCAGACCTACAAACACTTGGAGTCACCAAACTAGGAAGAGAAAGCCAATAATAAAGAATAATGAAGGCGAGTCATGTCTGCAGACATCAGCCTTATGGGTTGAGACTGCTGAAGAAGAAGAAGAAAAAGAAGAAGAAAGGCAGTTTATGTCAAATAAAATTTACTTCGTATTCATTTAGCTTGGATCACAGATTATTCCTAGACGACTATTACTTATTTAAGAGGTATGTTCGTAAATTTGAGTTGTATGCATGATTATTGTCACCGATGCTGTGTTTTAGATATATTTATATGCATAAAAATATACACACACACACACAAACACACTCAATTATTTTGTAGCTCAAATATAGCGTACTAGCTTTTGTTGGCTCATGAATTGCTTGGTTGCATTTTACTAAGTAAAATTAAAATTGGCAGCTTGCATAATTTATTTCTGGCAGAGTAACATTTATTATACTAAATTTTGAATTGTTTACCTTTGTTTCAGGAGAGTTGCTTTATTGTTTATTTTGCATTGCAGCTACATACATAATTCTTTATTCATAATCAAATAGTCTAAGAAATCTTTAAATACAGTGTTAAAATTATACTGACAATAATTACAGAAAGATTATTGCAGGTAATTTATGTAACTGGGTTAATTTAGAAAAACACACACAAAAATTGTCAGTTTGACAGTAACATGGCTTGTTACTGGGATCCACCAGGAAAACAAAATATGGCAACAGTTAACTGTCAAGCATGTCATAAGTGGTTTGGGTGATGCAGTTTGTTTGCTATTCAGGCTGTTGTGTGTGAATGTGTGTGTGTGTGCGTGCATGTGTGTGTATGTGGTTTTTTTTTTTTTAAATTATTTTAAATTCAAGCCCTCTCAGTCAGGTAAAGTAGAAAAATAGAGTATCTCCTAAATAGCCTACTTAATAACAAACAGTGATTGGATAAGGTGGTTTGTACTTCTTTAACATAAGTTTGCTCAAAGTAAAGTGGCCGTTTTATGCCAGTGAGCTATGGCATACGATGCTAGAGTCATGTTTTTTTTTAATCGATCAAATGGCACCCATGGAGTTATATAGTCAGTGGCACACTAACCACTTTTACTTTCCTTGACTTTTCCTGGAACCCGTTTCAGGCTGGGACCCAGGTTTATAATTACATTTGCTCCGGGCCAGGTTTAAACCCAAGACCACCAGGCAAGCATCTGGTAACTGCACTAGCACATGCATTTTCATAGAATAAAAGATGGTAGCAGCAAATCTTCCAGGTTATGATTGGAATCCAGTGCCTAACCCTCACACTCATGATTGGGGACCTCATGCTTGTGATCAAATTAATATGCTGCTTGTCTATCAGGATGGAAACAAATACAAAAGCAAAATGTAAATGCAAAAGAAGAAAATTAGGAAGGGATCAAATCATGTACAGATTGGATGTTTTAGTGGGCATTGGGGACTAGCTAGCTGATTAATTAAAATCTTTTTTTTTTTGCCATTTAGAAATTCATATAATCAAGGCACTTTTTCTCCCCTAGAAAATTAAGGTGTACTATAATTTTGTATGTGTTCTTCTTCTTCTTCTTCTTCTTCTTCTTCGCGTTCACCAGCTGTAAACTCTGGCGGAAGGTTCTGGTTGCTCGTCCACTACTGAACTGCAGTCCTGCTTCAGAACCTGAGTGTTGCATGTGCATCAGTTTTACAGATCTCATTCTCTTGAATAGAGACTGTTGGTTCCTTGCCTCTCCGACAGATGCACTCCGACTTCAAAGGAAGCTCCCCAATTAGTCGACTCTTACGACATGCTTTTGGGGAGGCAGTGGGTCTATTCTTGTTTTCCCCACAATGGGCCCCGGAACCCACACGGGGGTTTGTATGTGTTAAATTATGAACTTAAAACCTGTTTTAGCTTACAAAATCATTTAATATCTAATCAGTAAAATGAGGATCAGCTGGCCGATAGTTAAGGGCACTGGGCTGTCTTACAAGAGACCCATGTTTGAATCCTTGGTAAGGTCATGGATTTTTCCTGTTGGGGTCCAAAAATAAAATCCTAACCTGTACAGTCCATGGCGACAGCACTAGCCATGCAGCCTCACCTCCCCAGGCCCCCCCCCCCCCCCCCCATCCCACCATTTTTCCGTATGCTCACAGAAAAGTTGGTAAATACAGGCATGAGTTTTTTTTTGGTTTTTTTTTTTTTTACTGTAGGAACAAAGCCAAGATTTTAACAGTTAAAGAAATGGTGGTTGTACCCCATATGCACAGGAAAAAAAACCTCCAAATAATGATTATTGAATATGCCTGTGTTGCTCATTATTGAGAGTTACTCTATCAGACAGAAGATCTTCTGGAGTCTCAGTATGAGGAAACTGGCTCTGACACAGTGTCAATAGACTCTGGTTCATCAGCGACATCCCTTGGCTCTCCAGCAGGGGAAGCTTATCTACATGCCCAGGTGTCACAGACAGGTGTAGTATATTTTCAAGTACTTACTGCATGTGTGAACTGTTGTATCACAGATAATTAGTTAGTAGCATGACTAGAAAGTGTTTCTTTTGTTATCAACATAGGTAATGTTTCCATATTGCTGCATATCATATTGCAACTAGTTTGAGAATGGAAGTGGAGTCACTGAAGCCTTTTACTGACTCCAGAACCAGCTGCACATGCATGTCATGATTGTAACAGACTCACAAAGTATGTTGCATAAGGTGGATACAGATATGCTCTTTGCTGAATTGCTTTAAGGCCCTTTGGGAGTGAGTGGACTTCTTAGAGGCACAAATAGATCAAAATTGTCTGAAGAGAATGGTGCAGATGGAAGTGACCAGTAAATCTGGCCAACACTCAGCAGTCAGGTAAAAGACAGTAGCTAGCATACTTGCCTGCCAGTCCATTGATCACATGTTCAAATCCTCATTGAGACTGGAATTTTAAAAAGCACATACTCACAGCTCCAGCAATGATCTCCGGTGATCTCTAGAAAACTTTCACTTGCGAGTGGTCTCTAAAAATATGGAGCAAGTATAATGTACTCAATGTAGGGTGGAAATGAGTTCTTTAAGTTTCTAAATCACTTTGGAGCATTGAGCATCAAATGACTGTTAATCTTGACGAAATTTACTCCTAAAATTAGTTTTTAAAATAGCTGTTTTTGGGATCTGCTGTACGTTCATCTACGGATCTAACAGTTCAGGTCTTGTAGTGACAGCGTATGGAACTGTTGATACCATTGTTGATATGTGTGCAGTGACAGTGTAAAAAATGTTAATATATATATGCAGTGACGACATACAGTTTATAACCATTGCTAAGAAATTCAGTAAAACTTATTGCCTATGTCTACGTTGATTCTCTAGGTGTT